CTTCGGTCGTATAAGCACATCAAAAGCTCATCGTCGAGGTGCACCGTCCAATATTATGATGTAGGGTAATTGTATATATTATACGCTGTAATAGCGTCAAAGGTGCGTTAAATGGCCCCCCGACACTTTATGGTCACTCCAGGAAAATGGAAGGGAGAGGGTCGCGATTTGATTAACGAAAGAAAAATCTCGTGAGCAAGTGCAGGTTGTATGGGTGCTCGTAATAAGTAAAGGAGGGGAGGCTCGTTTCCGTGCTCGGCTGGGCGTGAAATCACCCGGTGCAGTCGAGGCCGAGCCGAGCGATCGTTAGACCCCAGTACACACACATGTATACGTATGTAGGTAACCGTGTCCGTCTCCCGCGCGTGCACGCACCTATAGGTTTTTTATATATATACTTGTACCCATCGCATGTAGGTTTTTCCTTCGCCGACCGGAAGCGGGACATTCCGACGTGCACGTCCCACCCTCCCTCGGTACTCTCTGCAGCTCGACGTGCCCATTTTATATATGCGTATACATACATATACAGGCTTGTAACTTTATACACCCGAGTGTCATATCTGCACCTTGTGGGCAGCGCCACTTTGACCCCCCTCGTTATGCGCCTCTTTGCTCCGGTGATGCTTATATAATGCACTTGTTTTCACGCTCTCGCCCCCTACACCGAAAGATATACGTATAATATGTAGGGTACCCTCGACCCTCGGTGCTCTTATACACGGGTGTTACAGACCGGGCCAATTTAGCCGGTGCATACTTTCAATCTGTTTAGCCGTGTTTGATTTCGAGGGGTGCGCCTCGAGACCCTTGATTTTTTTTTTTTTTTTTTACCACCAAACAGATACGCTGGCAGCTTGTCGATGATTTTACAATGCCTAATTTTCTTGTTAGTGACTTTGGTTCGTTTGGATCTGAGAGCACGGGTTTCGCTTTTCAATTACCAAACGTGATTTTTTTCGAGTTTTCCATGCACCGTGGATATTTTATTCGGTTGTTTAACTGTGATGTCATCTATATTGAAACACCGGTTTCGGAATTTATTTATTTAACGTATGTTAATTTCTTAAAACAACTAATGTTTCTTTATACCCTTATAATAAGTAACAAATAGTTATAATGTTAGACGTTGGATACGTATTTCACAGTACATTACCAACTATGAGGAAAATAAGTGTACATCAAGACACTATTTTTCATTTTTTTCGATAGATATGTGATTGCCTGATAAGAAACAAATCGAAATCAGGATAAGGGTTGGTCGATAATGTTGCGATAAGCTTGCGATACATTGCGGATTCAGATTTGCGGTTTGCACTCAAAAATGCATGTTATCTCTGCCGACTTGATCTAACTTCTAAAAAACGGGAGCAAACGATAGCGACGAGGTACATTCAAACGTACAAGTTACAGATGCGTTCGAATATATATATATATACACAACATATACTACTCGCGCGCATTGCACACCTTATCTATAAAAAAATTCGTCTACTATTAACTTAAACAACATACATACGTGGGAGGTCCCTCAAAAAAACCATTAGTTATGTTATTCCGAAAAAAAGTCGAAAGTAATTTACCATTGATATTATATTTAGTTCATTATATATATATATATATATATACATTGTTGAACGCCTCTTTCACTTTTTTAGGTGAAAAAATAATTCAACCAAATTTGGTCAAAGTTGATGAATATTCCTAAAATCACAGACTTTTTATCTCTGGTGAATATTTTTCAGTTCACCTAGTATTATTTCACGCTGAACAATTTCAACCACCTCCAATTAGCTATAGAATAAACTATTTTCGAAATTCCAAAACGGTTCCCCAAGGCGTGCCAATGACATTGACAATATATCTGCCAATAAAATAAAACCTTTGAAAGAAAAACCTCAGAAATCGTCCGTTTATTTTAGTTGTACAAAACGAATGATTTTCGTGAAACTTCTCGCACGGCATACTCGAACCATCGAAACTATCGACACAGATTTGTATATATTAATAGCGCGCGAGAGGAGGGTGTGCTGTATTTACAGCATGAAAACGCGGAAGCGAATCGCGACGCTTTCAATTCCCCGATAGACGCGAAGCGGGAGAAATTTCTTGGCAGGAGAAGAAGTCGGGGTCGCGAGGTCGCGCCTCGCGGCCAACGGCACGATACAGCGCAGAGAGCAGATGCACGTGGAACGGCTCTCCGATGCACTCCTCCTATACTCCTGCGCGGCCCCGTCCGAAAAAAAAAAAAAAAAAAAAAAAAAAAAAAAAAAAAAAAAAAAAAAAAAAANAAAAAAAAAAAAAAAAAAAAAAAAAAAAAAAAAAAAAAACGTATCTTCCGAGCCGCGGATGAGCTGCTCAATTAAAACAAATTGCCGATTAATTAATTAAGGAATGAAAGTTCGTTAAGCGGCCCGTGAATTACGATCGCGGGAGTGACTTGTTTTTGTGTGTTTATACCTGTATACCAGCGAGGGGCCATGCGTAAACTCGTCACTCGACTCTACACGTCAATTTGAGAGACAACCTCGAGATACGGCGAGCCGTGCACTCGATCCACCAGTGCTGTTGTACACGCAATAAACTACGATATCGAGGGGCGATAATGTACCCATTGTTATAATTGTCTTGCGTCGCCGCCACACTATAGTAAAAATACACCCCAACCGCACCAGCCAAACAAATAGACCGTGAAACGTATATTTTATACCTATACGTACAAAGTTCGAACAGTCTGCGCATAATATATATATATATATAGTTTTCCTCGTTTCTCACCGAAGCTGCGTATGATTGCGACGCGCTTATGTTTATCTCCTCGGATGCGGTGGGGACTATTATTCGTAGGGTTGGAGAATGGTGGTGATGATGATTGATGCGACCATCGACCGAAAACCCGAGCCGGCCGTAACAGTTTTATTTAAAACTGCATCGTCTGCGCAGGGGCTTTTCATGACTTCGCGCTCTCCCGTACATATCTCGGCGTAAAGTATAATTATACGATGGCTGTCCGAGGACTTTCTCAGAGCAAAGGTCGGACATGGATAGCGGCTTTTCTTTAATCGCCCACTGCGATGTGTGTATAAATGCGCGCCCCTTTCCCTCGTTCTACGCGATCGGCGATTGCGTGTCGAACGTGTTTATATACGTACGCGCAGTGGATTATTTTTAAGCCACGTTATCTCCTCGTTTCTTCCCTTATCTGAAAAGCGCCGATAAGCGCACACCACCTCTCCTTCTCCCCAAACTTCCCGAAGCTTTTGCGACTTGGTTTCTGTATATACGCAAGGGCCAATGGTCGCGTCACGCTGCGTTTTTTTTTTTTCTTTTTTTCTTTTTTTCGCCGAGTAGTTGTTTGCACATATACATATTATACTTACGTAAGGGGTCGGGGTTGCGCGAGCGATCTTTCCTATGATGTCATCGTTTCGACGAATCCGCGGTGAAAAAACATATTAAAATAATAATTTCCATCAATCGCGAGTAAACACGCGTCCGCGTGTGTAAGTTATGATACCGATGGAGAAGCTTTCTACAGGCGGCTTATCGCTTTCGCAGCTGGAGCTTTTGTTGTAGACGCTGTTTTTGCTTTCTTTTCTCTTCAACTCGAGATAAGAACCCATACACATCCATAAGGTAAAGCCCGAATCTATATATGACATGCTGTTGATCGATGTGTTTTTTTTTTTTTCACTCTCGATTAAATCCGTACGCAGATTTATCAAGTCCAAGTTAGCTGTTACGAAAATAAATCTAAATAAAATACAGCGATCGTTTATAACTATTGTAATTTTTTGGGCATAGGAGCGTCTTTCATGTGTATTTTTGTTGGACCAAAAGGTGCAATTACTCGTTAAAACTCTATTTTTTCGGGTGTCAACACGTGGGGGCCGAGTTGGTCCTGTGTGGGCGACAACTTTGGGTTTATGGTTATAACCTTTTCATAGAAAATAATATTTCTACTATGCCGCTTTGAGGAAACAAACCTATCTTTTCGCTATGACATTTAACACGGATGCATCTTATGCACATTCGCGCGAAGAGACAAAGCTATATATACGATCCCAACGAACGACCACTTTTTCTATTTTAAATCTTACGTTGCTAATACTAAATTACTCTAAATGATGAAAATCGTTGTGCAACGCCCAACTTTTTTATTTTACATTGTAGAAGAAAGTAAGTACTTATTTTTAATATAAAAGTTGAAGAAACTTGAGTTTATTATATATTTGTATTACATACAATGGTTGGAGTTATCTGCTACTTGAAACATTTTTCTCATTTCGATAAAAAACTCGTTTTCATAATTCAATGAAATACGATATCGAGAATTGATAGAAATCAAAATTAATTCGTGATGCCACACGCGCGTGAGAAATTAATTTTTTTTTTATCTATGTATATAGTGTCTGCATGAATATGTAATGGCTGTGTGCCTTATTTCAATGAGAGGACGCAAGTACATAGTGTTTCGCATAAATTGAGGCTTCTTATTTTTTAATTAATATTATAATTCGTCTGTGGACATAACACCGAAAAATTAACATCATATGGATTCGAATAATTGTGTCTCCTTTGTTAGTTAATTCAAAAAGCATATAGGACAGGATGAGTCGCATTATGTGAAAATGTATGATTTTTAAACATATTGTTTACACTAACAACTGGTTATTCGTAGCATCGAAAGATAAATAATACCGTTTATCGTAGATTGGTATTGTAAATATTATTTCAAGTTACGGGCGGTACACGTGCAAGAAAATTGTTATCCGATTTTGGTCGATACAGGTACCTACAGCAAGTTCTCGTTGACCTGCTGTCGATAAGTAAGTGATTCCTTCGGAACTGTGACACTACTACTACGACTACTACAGAAAACTACATGGTAATGGTATACGAAAACGTATATAGGTATATGGTGTATGGTATTTATGGTGTGGGCGTCTGGGCGATGGCGGTGGGTTCATGTTGCCAAAGTGGAAGAAAAGAGAGAAGGAAATACTTATCGACGAAAGTTGAAAACATAACCCACATACAACATCCAAATCAATGTTATTGCGTTTGACATTACCTGTCGAAATGTTTACCAAAGCTAATTGTATATTGTGATTCGGGTACACGTCAATGAGTGTCCAACGATTTTATAATGGCAAACGATCGTGAAGTGTTGCGAGAAATATGGGAAGGCAAGATTCCCGTTTGTTTTGAATTGGACTCGGAAGAGATCTACGGCCTACAGGCTCCCGATCCTTTTTATTTGATGTTACCTCGACTTAGTTACTTTCCTCTCTGTACCGACAAGGTAAGCTAATCATAATTTGCTTGCAACGTTTCGTTATCTTCAATTATTGTGAATATGCGATGTTTAATTGTACTTTGATTCCTAAACGCGAGCAGGTTAGAAAACACTTTTTGCGCCACATTCAGCAAGAAATCCAAGATAAACAAGAAACTGAAATGTGGCTGGAGTTTAATGGTACTCCTCTCAAATGGCATCTGCCCATTGGAGTGCTTATGGATCTCTATCACAACGACATTCAGTTGCCCTGGCACATAACAGTTCACTTTGACAAGTATCCTGAAGATGTCCTAATGCGCTGTCAAAACAAGTATGCTCTACTTGTTATCTTATGCTATCAGAATAACTGTTATTTATCATTTTCATATTTTATTCCAGAGATGTTGTGGAGTCATATTTTTTGTCTTGTGTCAAAGAAGCAGACGTCCTGAAGCATCGAGGTCAAGTGGTGTCTGGTATGCAAAAGAAGGATCACAATCAACTGTGGCTTGGACTCTTGAACGACAAGTTTGATCAATTTTGGGCTGTGAATCGCAAACTGATGGAACCCAGTGGTGATGAAGGTTTCAAATACATACCTTTTAGATGTTACATTAGCGAAGATAAATATGTACAAAAATTGGTGAAGCCTGTTGGCGAGGAAGGTCAGAGAAAAACTCTAAAAAATTTATTAGACGAAACATTTCCAGATAGCGAACAAAGTACAATAGATTTCTTTTTTCTTCATTATTGTTTTCGATGAATCTGTTTAAAACATTTATTTAACTTTTTCTCCACAGCAACTGTAGTGCGTACACATGGAATCATTCCTCCGTTGGATACACCTCTGCAATGGTTATCGGAGCACCTAAGTTATCCAGATAATTTTATCCATTTAGTATTAGCAACGTAACATTAAGAAAAAAAATCGTGTTGCTTCTGGTTGTTCTCACTGATGAACTGAGAAGGAATCTCAGAAGACAAAGAATATTGTATATTATTTTTTTATACATAATTTTATTTTGGTTTTTTTTTTTTTTTTTTTTCTCTTTTAAAAAGAAATCTTTTTTAGAATTGTATCTGTAAGCTTATAGAGTGTGTACCTTGAGATTACTAAAGTTGAATTCCAATGAAGCTGGCAATCTTGATCTGTTGTGATGTACATAATTTTTTTGAACCACTAGTAATTGAATGTTGAACTTTTTTGTGTACATAAGTTTTTAAAGTAATGGCTGATCAGATTTGCAAAGCCGGCTAATAGTTTTAGGAGTGTTTTCGAGTATCCGATGTATTGCTTTAAATAATGTGATTATTGTTTTTGTTTAAAGTTTTATTGATAAATAAAAAAAATACGTTTGCTATACAGACTTTGCGACGCTATTTACACATAAAAACACACAAAGATGTAAAAAGAAGAGAAAAAAAAAGAAGTCAAGTAATTGCGCAACTGTCACGAGGCTTCCGATGTATCCTGAAAATTTGCGAGGATAGTTCGACATAGTTGTTTGCTCTCTGTACGGCATTAGTTGTGCTCCTGTGGACCACTACAGGCTCGTTGCCGTTGCTATTGTACGTCATGACTCTTCGATTGTTACCAAAACTTAGATACGATGTAAGATCCCGTTCGCTTTCACGTATTTTTCGCAATTGATATTGTTGTTGTTCCTATGTAAAAAAACAAAGCACATACTTACTTTCTTTTGGCATTGTATCGATCTGAGCTGATTAGCTGTATTAAATTGATTTTTGGCATTAAAAAACAAAAAGTTGAATTTTTTTTTTTTTCTAACTCTTGCGTAAGCTATACAGCAAAATATTTATATCTTATACATATACGTACACACGGTGGTGACATTTCAGAAGACAAATAAAGATCTAAGGGAAAAAGCAAAGATTGAAATGAAGGAAAAAAAAAAAAAAAAAAAAAGAGGCACACAAAGTAGAGAGGCACCTTACTTTAAAAATGACCAGCGACGTGTCCCGATATCTCTGGCGTATTTGGTGTGGCGTCAATGCACTCGCAACCTCAGGCGACTCATAGCTCGCAGGCATCCAAGAAAAAAACACGCCGCACCGTTTGGAAAACTGCAAAATTCACGAATGAGCTCGTGTCAAAGGACGGGCGATGCAGATGCAGTGCGAAAGAAACAGAAGAAGCAAAAGCAACAGCATCCCAGGAAAGACCACACGTGCGTGGGTGTGTATATGTATACAACACAAGAATCAAAGCGAGTCGGCGTGAAAAGACGGCGGTGTTTTTCAAGCGAAAGCTCGGGCGGCCCGTGCAGAAGCTCTAGCGGCAAAGCACACGGTATCTATCTATCGGTGTAAAGAAGATTAACGCAGCGTATCTCCTCGGCCGATGCTACCGACTCGAGGAGATAAAAATATAACTTACGACGCTCTCTCGACGCTTAGAGCAAGTTCAAGCGTATATGTAGATACCCGTGCGAGTGAGAAAGAGACAGAGAGGAATCGTGATGTGGGTAGCGTGCGTCGGTGGTGGCCTTTCGGGTTAGCGCCATTTAAGCCCCCCCCCTCCCCCGGGCCATTTGTTGTACATCATAATGTGGGGGCAGGGAGATCGAGCGCCGATCTACGTAAGTTGCACTCTGTACATTGTTCATCCTCATCGGCTGCCTTCACTCGAGATAACGCGATCTCTTCTCGCGCGGCTCCTCTTTGTAGCAAAAGCGAGAGTGTTATACATGTATGTAGTGCTGCGGGAGATAAGGGAAAAATCGCGACTCTTGTGCGTGTGCAAACTTTTACATTTATCGCACTTTGCTTTATTTGCTGGGTTTTTTGCGTTCGGCAATTTTTTGGCTTCGGGAAGGCAAATGTCAAATCGACCGAGAGATCGGGTTCGTTTGATTGTTTGCGCAGGTACTTTTCAATCGCACAAGGTTTTGTATTTTGTTATATTCGTGTCAACAACGTGTAAATAGTATATAATAAATGTGATTTTTTTCTCCAAATGTGCGGAAAAATTGCCGATTTATTTTTACTTTCTTCTTATCCACAATAATTGGACGGACGATGTGTATATGCGCTAACGTTTTCTTTCTTCTTTTTCCTCGCCAATTAAATTATCGAACCGTTTTGTTTCGCAACTTTCTCGTCGTACATTTGTAACGCAAAGTCTATATAATACGGTATTGAAATGATATTATTCACTTTGATGAAACAAGCGAGTGCAGCAGCTGCAGGTGTCGGAGCGCCGTCGAAGAAAATGCAATTACGCGCGATTCATCAACCCTTCCACCGTCTTGCACTGCTTCGAGCGCTGACAAAATATTATTTTCGTCGCTGTGCGACAAATGGAAATAAACGTTGCGTAACAACACGAGACGCGCAAACATGCATCGCTGCGGCCTAAGAATCGGGAAATTTTTTATTTATTAGTACAAACAATTTATCCGTACGAGGAATTCCCAACGAGCTGTGGCTCATTGATAAGTGTCTCACGAAGCGATTGACAAAATAATTACGTATTCGAGCGATGGCGCGCAAAAAAATAGCTCGAGAGCTGCACACTGCACCCACTGTGAATCGAAAAAAAAGAAAAAAAGCAAAAAAAAAAAAGCAGTCGAGTCGATCGCCGTAGCATTTAATCGAACGACTCGAGTCCCGTGCAAAAATGCCTCGGAATCAATAGCTGTGGGAGCTTCGGAGCATTGCAGACCACATAAGCGCAGTACAAAGTATATAAGATGGTCTGTCTGCGTCGTGATGCGACGCAGGTAATTAGCCGCCCGCGCGCCAGCCGAGAGAATTAACCGTTCGGTCAGACGATCGGTCGCGCGCTCATCGACTCATTCACGACATTCACACACATTATTATGCACACACGTGCGCTCTTGCGTGCACTTGTGCTCTCTGCAACTGCGATATATACGTACATGCATATGTGTGTGTGTGTGTGCATGTGTGTAAATCGCGCGACATACAGCAAATAAATGAGGATAGGCAACTCGACAAGAAGAAGAAGGAAGGAATCGGCTCGCAGTAGTTGGCGCACGAGTGACATGTTTGCTCGTCTCGGCTGGCTGCTGCTGCAGCTTTGCAATACTTAATAATAACCCGATAAACACGCCATCGTTCAATAAGTCTAATTTAATTATTAATGTCACACAATGGCGAGTTTTTCATCTCTCGCTGGGAAATGACATTCTTTCATGTAAAATTGTCACAGGGGCTCAATCTCTTGTGATATATGTGGGGTGGGCTGAATCTAAAAAAAAAAATGGTTGTGAGCTCACTGAGCCAAGCGAAGTAGTGTTAACTAAGAATATTTGTGTCCATATAGTATGGTGGCGTAAGTCAATTTTTTTTTTTTTAATTTGTAAATTTTTAATTAAAATCTTATTTTTATTTGCCTTTAGTATAGCTCAATAATTTCGTACATGGTATCAAGCCGTTAAGAATTACGTGCGCAAGTGTTTCACTAACTTTAAGTAACCAGACCTTTACTACTCAATACCTGATGTCTACTTGAAGGTCCAAGTTGTCTGGTTGCACCAAGCATAAGTTCTTCAAATTATGGGTGTCGGCACTCACGAGTGATGGGCCGCTCGAAATGTTTGAAGAAGCCTCTTCCTCCGTTCCCTCCTCTATCTCGGCCTATTATCACTGTGGCGGGCGAGCGAGATAACGGAAAAACAATGCGAGCGCGCGGCTTTATCTCGGCCACTGGGGGGCACGGTGTCGCTGTGTTCGGTGTTGCGACACTTTTTCATGCCACTCCTGAAGAAGTCGAGGCTACTAGCTTTTTTTTTTTCCTATTTTTCTTTTACATTTTCTTGAAATCATTCGAGGAAATAATGTTATGAATCACGAGAGCTCGAAAAACTAGTGCATCGAAGCTACATCTAGCCTTCGTCGTAGCCGGCATACCTACAAGCGCCGCTTTGGTTTGGCCGCGATCTCTTTTGTTTCCTATATTTAAAGGTAGGCAAGTAAGTACGTCTCTTTGGAGCGCCACGCGCGTGTTTTCGCCGATTTTTCACTGACACTCGCCTCGCACCACTGGCAGGTACTTTCAAGATGAGACGAGCGCGAAATCGAGACGATCTTAGTACTCCAATAAGCTCGAGTTTCCAGGAAACGGGCACGACTGTTTCAGTTATTGAAAAATTAAAAAATTTTTTACTAAAAAAGCCGAAGATTAGTTATGACCAATCATTTTTTTGTTATTCTACGTTACTGTGCGATTGGGAAAGCATATATCACCTCAATTACGGTTCTACAAAAACACCTAATCGCAGACGATCTTATCGCTGAATTTCATTGATTGTCGAACAATGCCAATATTTTACGCCGTACAATCTTTTTGCGTGTACATGGAAAATTAAAAAGCTCATTGGTTCAGGTTCATCGATATATATCCTTATAGCTTTTAATGAAAATTGGCTCAGTACCTCAATTTTTAATTTTTTCGATTTTACGGCAACTTGGAATACTTGGGTTAGTGAGATAGACGTCAATATCGTGTAACCGTTTTCAATTCATTTTTAAATGCTTGAGAGAAGCGATTTCTCATTTTGAAAAATTACAGATAAAACGTCAATGTTCGAAAATGGGCTCAGCCTTCGGTTGTCAGAAAATTTTGAATACATTAAAAAAAATTAAGGTTTTGTATTCATAGTAATTTTAAAATTATTTATCGTTACTTGAATCAACTCTTTAATAAAAAATTACTTGATACATTTGGATTAATATCAAAGTATATTTTCAAGACGTAAAAATTTATGAAGAGGCAAAAAATTTAAGTTGAGGAAAGGAAGAAGAATGCACGTAATAACAACAATTTTGTTTTATGTGTTTAAAATAATCTCTTATATTTCTCTCAAATTCCATAAGTTTTTTAAGGTCGTATTATCTTATACAGCTACGCGCTTATAAGAATATACAAAATATGTACACGTACAAATACAATAAAATAGTTAATACAATATATATTTTCGATTTTGAAAGTAGAAAAAGGGACGATTTTCGTAATCGATAAAATTCTAACTTTTAATGTTTTTTTTTTTTTTTTTTTACAAGTCGATACAGTATTTGTATAATGTATATTATGCATGGAAAAAATCGTATCTCGACAAAAATCAAACAAACAAACAACAATGAAATAAAATTTTGAACGTGCGAAACAAGCACGTTATTAAACATTGTGATTCATCGCCTATGTCATTAATGTTAATACGACAAAGAAAAAAAAATGGCGAGAACAATGCAAAAATACGGTGTGGTTCCGTGTGTGAATGTTTAGACATTTGTATCGTGCAACAAATGTTTCATAATATTTAATTACTCATTAATAAATATACATATTCTAAAAATTTTGCAGGCACTATAATACATCGTAAAAATAATCATCGCTCGCTTTATAAAGAATATTTTTATCACATTTCATTACAGTATAGAGCAATTTCTTTCTTTATTAATTTTTTTTTTTCTCTCATATATATATACAAAAGACGAATATTGTATAAGATATGAGGGTAATATTTTTCCTCAGTATTAATTACATAAAATATCTTGTACCTTCAGTAAGATGGATTAAAAAAATCATATATTAGAGAAGAAAATTTTTAATATATTTATAATTGAAGCATCGAGTGCATAGAAAAAGGGGAGGAAAAATTTGGGAGAAAGAGGTGAACGAAAATGATATTTTTCATGCATTTTACGTACGCAATATGAGATATTTCATATAATCAGTATTCAGGAAAAATAGTGCCGTCTTACCTTATAAAATATTATTATTAATGAGTTAATATACAGATAGCTATAGATAGCTTTAGACTCATGTGGGCAATGATGCAACGGACCGCTTAGATGCTAGGGAGCACGCTAAAGGCACTAGGCGAGTACCTGCTCCTTTTTCAGTCATTAGGCGGTATGCTCCGTTTTGTTATTAAAATCTGCTCCAGCTATATAAATTATATGTATATACATACATAAGCTTGTATTACGTTAAAAGTTAAAAAGAACAATTGTATAAAAATGCAACACAAATACGATTATTCAACATTTGTATATACAACTATGACAATCGTTGGAAAAAATACACCAATATGCATCGTATATGTGTGTTGCGTTATTATGCAATTATTCTTTGCTGTGGGCTCGATTGGCAGTCTGAACAACAAATACTGTTTAAAATGAGCAATATATCTCTTAAAAATATTATCTTCCTATATATCCGTACGCTTAGGCACGTTTAAGGCACATGAGTTGCAATTAGTATTTGTTTCGTTCGTCAAGACTTTGAATCGAGATCGCACTCCGTTCTTTTGAATCCTGCATTCAACAAAGCACCGATCGCGAGTTCTCTTCTCAGCGAAAGTGAAGGCACGCAATAAAAAAAATTTTTTTTTCTTCACCATTTTGATTTCGTTGTAACAAGTCTAGAAAAAAAGTTATTGTTACTTAACATTATTTCAGAATTTTTTATCTGACCTTATGAGGTACAAAAATATCTCTGCTGCTTAGCGCTCGAATATGTCTATTTACACATGTGTACAATTTTGTTTTTAAATTGTAAATAAGGAAAATAATACGACGGATGTCTCATTGCTAAATTATTTTCCGTTTGATAATGTCTTCGAGTGAGAACCGAACCTCAAAGTACAAAGATAAAATTTAAAACAATTTTTCGTTAGAAGGGATTAAATCTCAATTACCGACTAGATCCCATCTGTTCAGCTCTCTCAGTCCTCCAACAAAATAAGTATATATAACATTACGCGTAAAATATAATAATAAACGTATATTGTACAATTAAGGCAATTAAGGCAACGCTCTGAATATTATGGTGAGACTACGAGTAGTGAACGCTCGAGGGATACCTGACGAAGGCACTTCTTGCCTGGGAGACGTCCAAGTACGAGGGTTGAGACTGCAGCTCCTGAGCTCTATAGTTGACCGGCAGCTTGAAGCTCAGCTCCAGCTTGAGATCGTGGCCAGATCGCTCGTTGAGGTTGCAAACGTTCTGGCAGTTGTTGTTGGCTGACTCATCGAGGCAGGGCTTGCTCACGGGATTGTCCAGGTAGGGTTTAAAGAGGATAGCATCCTTCTTGCGGGACGGCTGTACCACCACGGGCACTGCCAGAGGACTGGATACGGTGCTCGAGACCGGTTCCACGGGCTGCTGTTGCTTGTGCTGGCTCGTCGAGTCGCCTTTCGGCTTTACCAGGCAGAGTGCGCTCTCCTGTTCAGGTTCATCCAGTTCCGGAAATTGGGTTGTTTCTACAACTTCAGCGTGAACTTTCTTGGCCAGTGGTAGATCGCAGGACGGTGTGCGCATTGGGCGCTTCAACGACTTTAAGTCAGCGGGTGGCGAGTAGCAGTAATACGTCTGGGGCACTTCCGGACAGCAAGAAAACGAGCAGCCTGGGGAGCTGTAGGGCGGTGTAAGCGAGGAATCGATGTAGTTGCTGGGTGACATGGCGTTCTTGTACTTTGAGCTGTAGGGTTCTGGATGGTGCGACAATGGCGAGATCCGGCCAAGATCGGTAATAGCGACTAATGACATCCTCATGTCTACGGCCGACTCTTCGGTCTCCTGGACTGGTCCCAGGCGCTGACGATTTCCGCTGTTGTACATGTTCAAGAGTTCCCTGAGATCTTCTTCCTGGCCCAGCCACTTTTGTACCTGGCGGCGGTTGATGCCGAACTTGCGCGCCGTGGCTCGTTGATTTTGCCCGATTTCATTGTCTTTGTGGAAGGCGTCGAGCACATTGACCTTGAAACCTAAGGTGTAGGACCTCCGGCGGACGAGATCAGCGTTTCCGCACGGTTGCGGCTCCGTTTCGCTATCGGACGAGGCACTGGATCTGTCTGGGCTCAGTGGCAGAGAATTCACAAGTACTTGGTCCACATGGTTAGCGGACGGGCTGCAGCTGTCGCTGCGAGCCTGCTTGGGATGGTAACCGTTAAAATGGTGCTCCTCGCAGTTGTCCTCCTCGTCAGAACGTTCGCGCTTCAAAGGCCTTTGAGTGTTGTAGGGTCTGAGTACTGGAATCGGTGCTGGGATTGGGGCTTGCGTGGTTTTGGAGAAAATGGGACTGGTGGTGGGGACCGTCGTCGTAATCAACGAGTCTGGACTGGCGCGCTCAATTTTGATATTGGTCGACGAGATGAATGATGCCCGACGTTTCTGCTCATCTTCAGATTGGAGTGGTGGCGAGGAGGTAGAGCAGGGAGAGGACGCGGACGAGGAGGATTCGGGTTTCGGCTCGAAGGTCATCGGGAAGTGCGATGATGGGTGGTAACGCGTTCGTTGAAGGTTTTCACCGAGGTTTGGCTCGTAGCAATGTTGGGTGATGGTTGGCAAGGCTTGGTGCTCCTGATGGGCCTGGTAGACCAGCGGCTGGTGATGGTACACGTCGAGAATCGGGTAATTGGCGGGTGCCTGGTGAATTGGGGTAGAGTAATGATCCGGCGCCGGCTGACGAATCGGAAGGCTGTTTTTAAAGTCCGGATATCCGGTGGCTGCTACGGCAAGCGTCGTAGCTGCCGCAGGCGAGACTCGGAATTGGTAATCCGACTGCTGTGGCGAATGCTGTTGCTGGTGAATAGCGAGCGCTTGCGCTGTACTCGGTGAAGGGGGTGGCTGCTGCTGAGCGGCCAGCTCGTCGCCGTGCAGTCTGGCAAGACTGAGGTTCAAGGCCGGCGAAACTGGAGTTGGTTCGCTCGATTGCGGATGGTATTGTTGGTTGAGCAAAGACTGGTCCTGTGGTGGAGAAGCCGTGGGGACAGCAACACTGCTGCTCGAGGCCGTACTAACGCCATTGAGACAAGACTCGCGCAGAGTCTTTTCATTTTGGAGCCACTTTTGTATTTGGCGCCGGTGTATATTGAACTTACGTGCGGTTGCGCGCTGATTCAGCTTGCAATCATCGTCGTAGCGATAGGAGTCTAGCACCTTGACCTTAAACGAAGGTGGAAATATACGCCTGCTTCCCATGACGTTCCTATAATGTGAGTCATGTGGGCGATGTTGTTGCTGCTGTCGTTGCCGGGATTGGGGCTTGGTTCGTAGCATTTCGATGACAGAGCTGTCTTCGCTAAGCACTTCACTCACTTCGTATGCCATGCTTGTAAATTTATTAATTCACAACTATTGTTACTATAATTATGCTATTACAGCTTCTGCTGCAATTTTGTTTTGCACTTTCGCGCCGCTTCTGGATGGGGCACCGGTGGCGTTAAGCACAGTTGGCGCCGGGAACAGCTTACACAATGCTGCCGCTCACTTGGTCCCGGGTAAAACGTACGTACGAACGAGACACGACGACGGCGATGGTGATGACGGTGGCCGCTGCTGCCTCAACGCCGCCGAGGAAAGTGCGAGGGATGTATGTGTGTATAATATTAGTGAATGCTACCAAACGTATACCTGTATTGCGGCAGAAAACCTGTGCCAGCGGTAGCAGGGGTAAGCATCACCAAGTTAAAACGAAATACCGGACAGTGAACATAAGAAGAGAAAAGAAAAAATAAACCAAAGCAAACGGGAGAGAAAGAGATGAAGAGAAGGCCAGTCTAAGAGAGGAGATGGAGGCGCCACTCGGAGAATCGTGCCACTGCGGCCACTTAACGTACACTGTTGAACACGAGGTGAATGTTACTGTTCGTGATGATGGTACAGCGATGAAAAAACTTACTATGTTGAGGACGAGTCAGTAGCAGAAGCTTCGAGCAGAATCTCATCTTTTGGTCGAACCATTAGCTTTTTTGCGTATGACACATGAAGCAACGACGTTAACTCGAGCAGACGGTAAGATCAGGTGAGAAACGTTTCTTCAAGCCTCGGTGCTATAGGACTTAACTGTGATTACAGCCGAGGATGCCGTAACTAATACCGAGCTCCCCACTCTATTGGTCTCTTCTTACTGTAGCTACTGCTGCTACGCTGAGCTGGGCGTACTACTATTACGACTCACCTCGTCAAACATCTAACGCACTGTAGACCAGACGACTGACTGACTCGTCGTACTGCTGCCAGAGTGCCAGCCTCGCCAGACTCTTAGTCGCTACGGCTTGCTCTGTCTCTCTCCCGCCCGCGCATTCAATATACTTTGAGGTTGGCACTCTCTCTCACTGCGACCGGCTATACCCCCTCTATCGCTCCGCTCGCCTTCGTCTCTTCCCCTCGCATGCCGGGCGAGGAGAGCCAGCACACGAGTATTACAAGCAGCGCATTTGACGCGCCTCTCCCCCTCCCTCCCTTCATGACCCCCCGCTCGGTCGCTATAGCTGCCAGCTCCGCGCCCCTCGGACCGTTTATACGTTTACCCTTCCAGGAATGGTCGAGGGAGCGAGTGTGCGAGCAAGAGAGAGAAACAGCACGACGAGGCGCTATGTGAGCTAGAGCACCGGCAGCGCTTTACAGGCTATGCTACTTACCGCCGCACGACCGAGCAAGATGAAAAAAGTGAATGAGAGAGAGAGAGAGAGACGTGCCATATACCCAGTGCCACCGCAGTCGTTCGTTGCCTTATTTTGCTGGCCTTAGGTTTACTTTAACCATCTTGCTCTTCTTAGGACTCAAGGGGGCCTTAATATTGCACGCTTATGTACATTAGTACAGCATGTTGTAGGCGTAGGCGCCCTCCCTCCTTCCTTCCTCTCCTTTAACACTTTGGTGTGACGAGCCGAACATGAGCCCCATGAGCATGGCATCTATACCTTTTTTTTTTCGACAAAATCGTCATCCTCGATGTCGTCGCTATAAGGGAAAAACGTATAATATGCAGAAGATCGCAAGAGAGGCACACAGGGCAAGCGAGTGTGTGAGCTGTAGAGGCGGGAAACATCATCCCAGGCGACGCCGGGTCTCCGACGACCACTCTCCGGTCGGCGAGCGAACAGAGAAGTGCGGTAGCGCAGGGGGGAGAGAGAGGTGGGGGAGCAGTGAGCGCTGCAGGGGAGAGAGAAGGAGCGAGGCGAGCGAGTCAGTCCCGGCGCCATGTTGTCTGCCCCGATCGGCTGCCGTCGTGCCGTCGTTTGCCGCGGCAGCCGAACGAGCCAGCCAGCGCGGAGCCAAGCGGATTTTTACGCGCCGTGGCTTCTCTTCTCCCTTCCTTTCTCTCTCATGACTCTCATCTTGTTGTGTACATGTGTATGCGCATATATACTCCAATGCAAACATACTTGCACTCATCATGCAATACTCACCTCTACAATATACTACACTTACACAACATCTCAAACCATCCCGACAATTTTTCTATAAGGACAATATTGGTACACGTACAAGTTTGAAAATATCTTGCGCTGTTCATCTTGCGTATCTGGTATACGTACTCTCATCTCATTTCATACGAAAAATATAATGTAACACTGTCATCTCATCATGATGCGGCCGTTCATCATATGGCTGTACGTATAATGTAATCTATACTGTATTATCATGCAAGACTCGCAACTCCTGCAAAATGTTCTTGTTCATCGCACTATCGACGAATATAATAGTATAGGGGAAAGAGATGAAAAAAAGCACCGAATCTCGCTCTTTCATTATTCCTGAAAACTTGGTAAACAAGTTATAGTTGCGAACGAGCGAGTGAACGAGCATGGGTGGAGTAAGCTAAAAGATAGAGAGGAAAGGGGCGAGTTTGGTATGCGGCTCGCGTACACACACACACTCTCAGCCACAGCGGCCAGAGAATATATATAGATACTTATTATTGTAGAAAGAGCGGAGATCGAGCGACAGTAAAATCCACGCATTCTATATAGTTATATATCGACTTTGCTCTCGCGCGCGATTCGCGCCTAGTTCCATAAAAGAGGTCAGCTCTTATCTATCAATTTAGTCAAAACATGCGCGCGCGAGATTATTACTGCTCAGTATACGTACATACGCAACACCACTGTTATACTCTAAAAATGTTGTGCCAAATGTGTATGTATATATATATATATATATATATATATATATATATATATATACTTTGATAATACTTATACATCCATTTTGCTCGCCCATTATTACTTACTGTCTGTATCAAATGCATCGAAACGTGCGTGAATACCTATCACACAGATGAACGTATAAAAAAAAAAATTTATGAATGCAACAGGGTAGTATGGTATCAATTAGAATGACTATTTTATGTAGATATTTGTTTATCTGTTTGCAGAAGATGCGGTTGAGGAAGAGTTGTGGCCAACCTCTCGCGCCGCAGTTACCGCGACACCTCCTCCGCCTGTTGCTGCTGCTTCTAATGCCGATCAAGCTCGGTTGGGACTCTCGCGCAATAACGACGACGTTGTCTTCGTCTCGTTCTAAAGGCGACTGGTTGGCTGGCGTGTACGCTCCACGCACACTTTATAGATGGATATAAACTTGCTGAGGTTTGTACGATGAATGATTTAATAGTTTTTTTTTTTTTTTTTTTTTTTCTGTTTCATTATTTTCCTGCATCCATAAAATGTACAATTGTGCTCAAACGAGCGGAGAAAATATAATTAGCCTTTATCCGCGTTATGTGCTTAATAATTGATTTCTCGAATCGCGTGCTCGCTTGTTTTTAAAGCAACAAATTCGCACACGGACGCGTGTATACGTATCCGCACAGATTGCCACGTGAAGCGTCTATACACAGCGAGGTAAAGTCGGGCACTTCTAATCATTGACATTTTGCGGATGTTTTACAGGATTAATATATTGTGAAATGAGGACCAGGTATGTACTTATTGTTGAAAAAAAAAAAAAAAAATCCAAGTGTGTCGAATACCCAACATCCGCACCCAGTCTGTATAAATTTTTACTCTAAATATGTATCAGTAATCCAATGAACGATCGTATAACCCAATAAAAAGTATCGTACAATCTGTACACATTATTTCGGGTGGTACCAACAATAAGTTTACTAACTAATTTAAAAATCAAAACGTTAACTTGGTATAGGAGTAGTGGTGAATGTTTACATAGTCGCACAGTATTTTAAAATAGTTTTATACTTATCACTTTTTCAAATTTAGAAAGTGCGTTGCGAAAGCAACGTGTATATGACCAGTCAACCGAGCGTCATTAAGTATTACTTTACATTGCTTTCATTGAAATTCGGATATTCAAACTCCAGTGCAATGAGCGTAATTGACAAACTAATTTCGACTTTTATCAACGTTTTTGAACTATATGTCGCTCAGATAGCTGTACGCAGAAAAATTTTTAGTTGTGCCTGGCGTGGAACTTTGATGAAAAAAAAAAATTTTTTTTTTCTCAAATAAAATTGCCAGTGGAAAAATGTATGTTCAACGGTACGAATGATGAGCAACTTGAAGGAGGAAAAGAGGTACAGCTGCTAAAGTTTGTACCAATTCTTCCGAGACCGAGGTATACATAATAGTAAGCTAAAGTAGAGACTAAAACTTTGCTTTTATCTCACATCGCAGTAGCTCATATACCTCATACCAAACCCGAAGTGTGTATATTTGTGCATGTATAACAGTAGGATAAAAAAATCGAATAGCGACACGTAGGTCTTGTACACGCAAATACGATGAGAGCAAGGACGACAGCCCGACTGATATTTAAAAAAAAAATATCGTATACATTTTACATTATTCCGCTTATTCCCACTGATGAGTATTCCTCTTATTCCCGTTATTTCCTTATTTCTTGCTCTTATCGCATTTGCGTGTAAAGGGCCATAGATATTCGTGCCTATGCTAATCGGATTTGTTTACATAACATATGTCTCGTGACGAGCACTTGAAAAATACACATGTGACTTGTGCATTATGCGCGTGAACACATTATTACCCACGTATATGAGAAATTACGACGGCGCCTCTCTGTTTCTCAAGGCCTGAACGAAAAATTGGCTTTTTTTTTTTTTTTTTATTAAACAGAGCCGGGGAGCACCAGAAACAGCTCGTTGCCGCGGCGCATATCATATTACCTCTACAAAACGTATATACCTATACAGAGCCAAAAGTGTTTGTGTGTGTGCATCTGTATAGAATGAGAGCCGGGCTGCGATTTAAAAGAGCAGAATTGGCATTTAAATAGTTCTCAAAGTGCTCTTTTATTTGGCAGCCGCACGGGCGACTGACTTTCTATACGTCTATATTTATGCCAGTGCAAAAAGAAATATACAAAGCCCAGATCACATTTATATGCGTTTTCTTCATTTATTTAGAAATATATTCCTACGTTTCGTGTGGGTGCACCATATTTAATTGTTGTATAGCCTGTGCTGGTATATATTATCCGTTGTTGCTTTATTTGTTACATAACTTTTTTCTTTGTATTTTTTTTTCGACATGACTCACATGTTGTACGGGTATCGAAAAAATCGGAGAAAAAAAAAAAAGTTTTTTCCCAATGAGCGCACGACCGGTCGTCAAAACAGTGGAGCATCTCCGAGCATCACGGATGAAAGATTCATTCGGAGAATCTCAAATTAGGAACGGCCCGAAACGTTAAGTTGGAATTAATCCGCGCGCGCGCTGATGGTAGTAGGGGTTTTATTCTGCCGTGGACCCTTTTCTTTTCCCGAAATTCTATAAATAGCCCCTCAGCACAGATTGCATCGAACCCAACAGCGACAACAACACAATGCACCTACGTAATAATTAACACAGTACCTATCCTGACTGTTGTATAATTATAATATGAAAAAAAAAGTAACGATGTCATTCCTCCCATAAAAAGTTGTCACACACGCGTCCATGGTATCGAAATTGTGTGCTTATTCCTGAATAATTGGATCAATTATTTTCACTCGTATCTTGATGACATTGTACGAATAGAAATAAGAAAATCATCGTCCGTCCACGTGTATTTGGAAGAATCATATCGCGACGGATAACAAATCCACGCGTTACGTTGTATACTCTCGGTACGTGTGAGCGTTAAAGTTGCTGCCATAAACACGAGCTTGTCATCACCCACTGGTAAGTTGTATATGCTTTTAACGTACGAAATCAAGTACAGGTGTAATTTCGTTGGTCGT